CTTAAGGTGAGCTATTACCAGCAGGAGAGCGGGGGTGGGGGGAGAGAAACCTTTTGTAGTGATAATCAAGGTGGGCCATTTCCAGCAGTTGACAAGAATGTCTGAGGAACAGTGGGGGGAGAGCGGGGAATAAACATGGGGAAATAGTTTTACTTTGTGTAATGACCCATCCACTGTATTCAAGCCTAAGTTAATTGTATCCAGTTTGCAAATTAATTCCAATTCAGCAGTCTCTCTTTGGAGTCTGTTTTTGAAGTTTTTTTGTTGAAGAATTGCCACTTTTAGGTCTGTATTCAAGTGACCAAACAGATTGAAGTGTTCTCCAACTGGTTTTTGAATGTTCTAATTCTTGACATCAGATTTGTGTCCATTTATTCTTTTACGTAGAGACTGTCCAGTTTGACCAATGTACATGGCAGAGTGGCATTGCTGGCACATACCACATTGGTAGATGTGCAGGTGAACGAGCCTCTGATGGTGTGGCTGATGGGATTAGGCCCTATGATGGTGTCCCCTGAATAGATATGTGGACACAGTTGGCAACGGGTTTTGTTGCAAGGATAGGTTCCTGGGTTAGTGGTTCTGTTGTGTGGTGTGTGGTTGCTGGTGAGTATCTGCTTCAGTTTGGGGGGCTGTCTGTAAGCAAGGACTGGCCTGTTTCCCAAGATCTGTGAGAGTGATGGGTCATCCTTCAGGATAGGTTGTAGATCCTTGATGATGCGTTGGAGAGGTTTTAGTTGGGGGCTGAAGGTAATGGCCCACCTTGATTATCACTACAAAAGTTTTTTTCCCCTCCGTTCTCCTGCTGGTAATAGCTCACCTTAAGTGATCACTCTCCTTACAGTGTGTATGGTAACACCCATTGTTTCATGTTCTCTGTGTATATAAATCTCCCCACTGTATTTTCCACTGAATGCATCCGATGAAGTGAGCTGTAGCTCACGAAAGCTTATGCTCAAATAAATTTGTTAGTTTCTAAGGTGCCATAAGTCCTCCTTTTCTTTTTGTCTGAAGACTGACTGCTTCACCACTGTGACAGAAGCAGATCCATGGAGTGCCTGGGAGTACTCCATGGAGCACAGCTTGAGAACAGAAAATATACACCTGTTAAAAGAAAAGGAGTACTTGTGGCACCTTAGAGACTAACCAATTTATTTGAGCATGAGCTTTCGTGAGCTACAGCTCACTTCATCGGATGCTTACCGTGGAAACTGCAGAAGACCTGTCAATACACCTGTTAGTTATCGTTGTGGTGATGCAAAAAACCCCAAATCATTGTACTGGCAGTTGATGGTTTTTCTGTCCTTCATAACAAGATTATTCAGACTTGAAGTGCAGGGGAATCTTTCTTCTTTGTGAACAGAGTGGAGAGCCACAACATCTTTCGGCACAACTTCTTAATGTTACTTTGTGCCATTGGCTTTGTGATTCTGTTTGTAATGCAGCACCATAGAATCATAGAATATAAGGGTTGGAAGGGACCCCAGAAGGTCATCTAGTCCAACCCCCTGCTCGAAGCAGGACCAATTCCCAGTTAAATCATCCCAGCCAGGGCTTTGTCAAGCCTGACCTTAAAAACCTCTAAGGAAGGAGATTCTACCACCTCCCTAGGTAACGCATTCCAGTGTTTCACCACCCTCTTAGTGAAAAAGTTTTTCCTAATATCCAATCTAAACCTCCCCCACTGCAACTTGAGACCATTACTCCTCGTTCTGTCATCTGCTACCATTGAGAACAGTCTAGAGCCATCCTCTTTGGAACCCCCTTTCAGGTAGTTGAAAGCAGCTATCAAATCCCCCCTCATTCTTCTCTTCTGCAGGCTAAACAATCCCAGCTCCCTCAGCCTCTCCTCATAAGTCATGTGTTCCAGACCCCTAATCATGTTTGTTGCCCTTCGCTGGACTCTCTCCAATTTATCCACATCCTTCTTGAAGTGTGGGGCCCAAAACTGGACACAGTACTCCAGATGAGGCCTCACCAATGTCGAATAGACCATCACATGTTAAAGACAATATAAACATCACAGTGCACCTTAAGGCTGTTGTGTCATGATTATTTTAAGACTCTTGGTGACTCTGACACAATTTGTCCTCCTCCCCTGTCTCTTTCTCTCTTCCCCCATCTTGCCTGCTTGCTGGAAATTTGGAGTGTTTCTCCTCTCTCTCTCTACTCACCCTTTTCTAGGCTGTGTAGAGGCCTGGCAGCTTTAATCCAGTTCTTTAGGGTTTCATGTGCTGCTTGACATGTTTCTGGCAGTGTTCATGTTATCAGTGCTCTGCTCATTCTGCTTGAGACCAAGCAGAGTAAGAGGATATTAATCAAAACCATGTAAAAATTAATCACTTTGCCAATGCTAAAGAGCTGCACGAGGCTCTAGAGCCCCAGGCTGAATATCAATTTTCTCCATTATCTCATAAATAGCTCCCTAAACACACCATTTTTTTTTAAAGGGCATTTTGTGGGACCTGAGTCTACAAAGCGAACTAAGGATCATATGCGCCCCACTGTTGTGTGGCATGTAGGGGAGTGAAATCATTTTAATTGTGCATAAAAGGGGTCATGGGAGAGTATGTGATCTGTAAGGCAGCTGTGTGGTATGTTTTTCTGCCACACTAACTCCTTGTTTGAAGGGAAGTGTGGGAGACAAAGGGTATTGCCCAGCAGTGGGGTGAGGAGTCAGGAAACTACTGCTCTGAATTGCATGTTCCCCTTATGTTGAACTGTACATCATTCAAACACCATTAAAGCAATCACATGGGCAGATCCACTGCCAGAAACACTATACCAACTGTGAGGGAGGTTTGTGGGGTATTGCCTTATTTTTTCCACTGGTCATTGGCAATTCTCATAGATGCACACTTTGGATAGGTAAGATGCAGTATGTTAGGTTACATTATTTTTTTAAATATTTCCTAAAAACAATATTATCTACTGAATAAAATAAATTGAACAACAGAAAATTGTTCATGTAATATCGAACAAGTAGTTGTAGTATTTTTTGTGTCGAAGATTTTACTTGTCCTGTCTCATTTCTTTTTTAAAAATATAGAATGATCATTTTAATAATAATTGATTACGGATATCATTGGTTCCCCTCCCCACCCCCCAAAAAAAGTTTAGTTGGGCTAGTATGTGAGGGAGTTCCAATCCATGAGGAAAAATAAGACAAAATATTAAATGAACAATAGCAGTACTAAACCCTAATAGGTCCCAACACCTACGTGAAAGTGTAAATCATGCATCGGAGAAAACAGGCACCTTCTGACAACAATAAAAATAAATTAGCATTCCCCAAAGTGTACTACAATTGGAGATGAGCCTGAGATGTAAAACGTTGGGCATATTTGGATCTAGTGTTTTGGTTCTGCACATTATAGATATATTAGAACTAACCACAAAGCTCAGGAAGATTGAGATTTGGGTGTTGGTTCAGACACATCTGTACTTGCAGTCCACTACCTCAAAGAGAGACTTCAACCAACCTTTTGTTTAATTATCATAGAGAAATCCAAAAATCTTGACACAGATAGAATCATCATCTTGATAAGTCAGTATAGACGGAGATTAAAAAAAAGGGGAGAACATATCTTAATAAGGGTTGGCTATAATTCTCACATGGCTATTAGGTTACTGTGTATTTTAAGAGAGATAAGAGAAGGGAAAAAAAGAAAGTAGTTCATCCTGGTTTTGAATTACATTCACTTTGTTGTGATGTGCCTGTGTTGTGGCCAAACTATTTCACCTTCTCAGTCAACTATTTAAAGGTGTCGTATATTCAGCACATAAATCAATTCTGATATGTTAATCTTTTCATGAAAGGAATGTTCAGAGTTTTAGAAGAAGACTAAGAGCTGTTTAATTCTCTTCATCTAATGTCCTGAATCACTGGACTCAACAGAACTTTTCCCTATCTCTAGCCTCATTCCTGTAGAGCCTGCAGATCTATTCATCCATTTAGCTATCTGTGTTCTTATACTGGCACTTATCTCTGTACTATCTGAACACCAACAGTAATCTTTTTCCTTCTCAGCTCTGAATATAGAAGTGTGAATAAAGGTACAACAGTGGGAAAGTTTGGGATACGATACATACTAGAACATTTCATTTACTTCATCTTCATTTTCCCGCAATATCTTCTCAAACACATCCATATACATCCACAAACAAACACTGTGAACCAAGTAAGCTAATTCTCCTACAGGCTGAACAGGAGGAAAGAGAGAGTGCTTATTATTTCTAGCTTTAGTACATGGGAAGCACTCAGATACTACGGTAATGGAGCAGAGGTTCTTCCCACCCTCTGCAAGAAACTCTGATCTTGAGCTCCAAAAAGAGGTTCCCTGTCCAAATCCCAACCTCTTCATGCCTCCTTACCTATGACCTGTTCCTTCACTTCTTAGATTTCTTCACCTTCTCTGTGATCTCCGTACCAAGCAGACTCAGTGTCAATGCTCCCTTCCCAAGTTTTCTTTTCCAGCCTTCCAGCTCTCTCTATAACTTCTCCAATACCTGCAGCTACCCATGCACCTTCCAGGGCCCCTATTGGATACACCCAATTATTCTGCTCCTTCCATATCTCTACCTTTGTGAAGGAAGGGAGCTACTTTTATGTAGCCCACCACACCTTGCACTGGAGTCTCCAACTCTCATCAGCCCGAACTACTACTGCTCCCAGCATTTCTCTGGGCTGAAGCCAGAAACAGGGCAGTATGGGGCATGTGACCTGCCTTAAGGGGACAGTACACCTTGTCACAGGTCCATTTAAGTATTTAGTTAAAGTTATAGATAATACTTGTTTGAATTGCAAACAGGATTGTTGGTGGGCTGGCTGAGAAATGCATAATATATTTTCTCATATATCCTTTACTGTGACCAAAAACGTGTATTGTCCATTTTAGTTATTACTGTACTGCAAATAAAAATCACATGCTATTTTCATAAATTGTATTGCGTGTTTTAACCCATAACAAGGAATGAACTTGTTCTTTATTACTTCATAGGTATCACTGCCCAGTGCCTAAGATTTTTTATGTCCAATTGACTGTTGGTAACAGTGAGTTTTTTGGTGAAGGAAAGACTCGTCAAGCTGCTAGACACAATGCTGCGATGAAGGCTCTTCAAGCTCTCCAGAATGAACCTATCCCAGAAAAATTACCTCAGGTTTGTGATTTAAAAACTTACTGAGCCTCGTTGTCAAACTTTGGTACTCAAATCCCACATTTGGATACTTATGTCATTAAAAGGTTGTGGAAAAACACAGCTTAGTGGATTTTTTCCAGAATTCTCATTCTCTCATTTACTTTTTTTAAAAAATACTAGAAACAGGATGTAATTTCAATCTGAATGAAAACTGTTTTAAAATAACAGGTTAAAAAGCAAGTGATGAGAATAGGAAGGTTCTTGTTATACCTATGATGAAACACTAATAAAGTTTTAAAGTCTAGAAGCTGAGAGGAGAAGGGGAATAAGTGTAGTCATTGGTGTTTGGAGAGAGAGAGATAGCTAGTGGGTGGATTCAATTGTGGGCATGGTTTCCTAGAATCCACAAACTTCTGGGAAATGGACTCTGGTAACATGGTTCTATTAAGCTTACTCTCACAGCTTATTTTTCAGTTTTCAATTTTCATAGTGTTGAATTCACTAGCTGGTTGTTTTTCCTAATAACCATAGTAAATGTGGTAGCAGCTGATCAATTTAGAAAGCAGGTGATTATTGTCAAAAGTCAGTTTATCTAGCTCCACGTGCCTATTGCTGAAGGAAGTGGTAAGGAACAAACTATTGAATAGACTTAAGTTGTGACAACGTATAATTCTTCTAAGGTAAAATGGAAAGATTGTCAAGAGTTGTTAAGAAGCAAAATAGAAAGCTTTGTGGTCATCCCCAAAAGTGCATCAAATACCTATTTAATCCATGACCTCTGAGAATGAATTATTATTAATAAATGTACTTAGTGCCATGATTGTGTTCTACAGACTATGAAAAAGACTGGTCCCTGTCCCAAGAAGTTAATAATGTATTCTGATATTTTTCAGAATAAAAGCCAAATGGTGATGTGTATTTTTGAAGTGAATGTTTGTGCATGAGGAACCTCACTGAGATCACCGACTCACTTTAAATAGGCTATCGAACAGCTGTCAGATGGTTTTAGGCTTTCAGCCTGTTAGTCCCTGCATGGTTCATTAGCTTTCTTCAGTGTTGCATTTGTAAGGATCAGTATTTGCGTTGCTTTAGAAATGAAAATATTCCAACACATTTTAAAAAAATATTTAAGCAAAATAAATTATTAGAACTGTCTCACAGGTAGCTTTGCAAATGAAAAGGTTTATAACAACAAACTTGCCAAGTGACTTGAGCCAGAACACACATACTTGGAAGACACTAAAATGCCCTCAGTGCACTCCCTTTTGGACAATACCTATTGAGATCCTGTGCAGAGCAATAATCTAAAAAAAAACTAAAAATACCTGGAGTTTTTTTGTTTTAAGCTACCATTTAAATGTGAAATAATTCTGTTTATTAAAAAGAACAATTATGCAACTTTTATTCCTCTTTCTCTTCCCAAACTATACCTGAATCGTCGTCATTGTGGATGAGAGAAAATTTTACTAACCCTCGTTAGTTATGCCATCATTCCTTTTCTGGATCAGGGAGAATATTATTTACTTCAAGTCGTTCAACAGGATTGGTTAGGAGTCTTTAAAAAAGAGAATTTAAGAGAATTTAAAAGATCGGAAAACATAACTGAAGTGATATTTTCCTACGAAGGCCTGGATGCAGTCTTAAAAAACCCAAGCTGTGAAGTTTGACTAGAGAGACATACTTTTTAGTTCTATACTGTGTTTTGTTTTTTAGTATTATATTTTTTCAGGAAGGGTCCTTGAATTCAAGATGTCCATTAATGAGGACAGGAAAATGTTGCTTATTCTTCACTTGCCAGCGATTATATTTGTTAACATCATTTAGTTTCTGATGTCCCACAAAGTAAACTGCTATCATCCAAGTATATATACTAATTAGTAGTTGTGGGAAATAAATTATATGGGTAGTTCTGTTTAGATGCTCATTTCTTCATGGTCTATGTATGTGAAACTGGAAAAGTTATTTATTTACCCAACAAAAGCAATAGGATCTCAGATTAAACTGTATGTCCCAGTCACAAGAATATAACAGCATCATTTTATCAGGTCCCTCAGGATATCCAGGCTTCCAAAGGATAAGCTGTGGTTGTACAAATCTGAGATTCTTAACTGCAACTTCTGTTGGGCTGTCCACATTGTTCTGTGTCTTTCCAGATCTAACTTAGTAAGGGAAACCTCATCATTTTCTTACCACAAAGCAGACATTTAAAGTTCTCCAACTTTCCAGTTAGACAGGAAGGAATGCATTTTCAGAAGGGCAGCTTCCCTTTTGGGGATGCAGTTTGAGCTCACAATAGACCTGTGAGCACAAATTAGGTAGTTAGAGGTACAGCTACATAGATTTGAACCTGCATTTTACTTTTGCAGCGCAATGAACAGGGAGGCCAGGCCTTGGCTTGATTGAATATATACCCCAACTATCGTCAGCAGTCAAGAGATTTGGAAAAAAATAACTTTTTCCCCACGAGAGTTCAGGGAACTTTGATGTAAAATGAAACTGAGTGTCCATTAGTGAAGTATCTAAAATCTAAGAGAGAAAGGGTGGTCTAGTGGTTAGGGCACTAGCCTAGGACTTGGGAGACCTGGAGTCAGGTCCCTTCTCTGCCATAGACTTCCTGTGGACTTCTGGTACATCACTTAGCCTCTCTGTACATCAATACCCCATCTTTAAATGAGGCTAAATGGTGGTACTTTAGCTCATATGGGGTGTTGGGAGGATAATACATTAAAGACTGTGGTGATCAGATACTATGGAAATGGGCACCATAAACTTACTCGGATAGATAGAACTTGACCATTGGGAGTCCTGTGCAGTTGTGCTGAAGGAGCTGTGCTCAAGAACGAAAATGGGAATGTTATTTTATAATGTGAAGACAAATCTGTCAGCTGCATAAGTAGCATCTGGAAGGGCTTGTACAAGGACCTCAAGTTCTAAAATGAATTTTTGCTCATTTTAACTTGTTTTATTATAAGCAAAAATTATTTTCCTCTGCCATTATGTTTCTTTTCCATCTGAGAGCTGAATTTCTGCAGCCATGTGAGTGATAAAACATCTCCCTTCACAACTAACAGTGATACTTCTTAGGTTTGGTGTAATTTGTATACCTGGAGACTTCTTGCATCATCCTCACAGTATGATCTACCTACAAGTAGAGTGGTAGTGGGCATCGCAAATTAAATACTCTGACAAACAGACAATGTCCTGTATAATATCCTGTACAAACGTTATGGAATTAAGATAAACTTTATTGACTCAGTTTAAACCTTAATTCAATAAGGTTAATACCTTTGGGATATGTTGTATTAAAAATACAACTGGGTATATGTTACTGTGACATTGAATGTACCTTCTCTAGTAGGGAGGGGGGATGCTAATGAACTTCCTATGTATTCAACCCTTTGAAGCCACCCCACTGAAGAGATATGCATATGGAGAATCCAGTCTGAACTAATAGACAAAGAAAGGGGTTTTGGATAAATAGCCTGATTTTACATTGGCTCAGAGTCATCTTTCTGATCCAGCAAACTGACAGAACCCCTGGTCCACAAGAGGGCCCCAGTCCCTAGGGTAGAGTTGGAAGGACTGGGTGCTTGTTCAGAGCTGAAGCTCAGCTGTGATGAATTGGTAACCACAAGGAATTCCCCCTTGGGTGGGGATCTAAAGGTTCTGTTCCTGCCAGAATCCATGTTAGGGATGGGGTGAACCCTGGTAAGCTTATTAACATACATGTAGGTCATTTTATTGTTTTAGATATGTTTTTTCTGTCGTGCTTTTTACCTTAAGAATAAAGTAGACTTGCAGGGGAAGTGATGTGTGTGTGTGACGGGTTGGGTCACAGAAACCCCCTTGGGACTGACCTGATGTGCTGAGACTCCTGTGAGTCTGTTTTCCCTGACAGCTTGGGACTTCAGTACCTTGCCTTTGTGAGCCAGACACACTAGCCTGCTACAAACATAGGCCTAGGTCCGAACCATGTCCCCCAAAAGCTGCAGGCTTAACTGAAAACAGCTTAAGAAGTGCTCCTGTCTCCAACACCCAGATACCCAGTTCCCATTGGGATCCAAACCCCAAATAAATCCGTTTTACTCTGTATAAAGCTTATACAGGGTAAACCCATAAATTGTTCACCCTCTATAACACTGATAAAGAGATATGCACAGCTGTTTGCTCCCCCCGGAATTAATTACTTGCTCTGGGTTAATTAATAAGTAAAAAGTGATTTTACTGAATATAAAAAGTAGGATTTAAGTAGTTTCAAGTAATAACAGACAGAACAAAGTAAGTTACCAAGCAAAATAAAATAAAACACGCAAGTCTAAGCCTCATACAGTAAAGAACTAAATGCAGGTAAATCTCACCCTCAGAGATGTTCCAGTAAGCTTCTTTTACAGACTAGACTTCCTCCTCGTCTGGGTCCAGCAATCACTCACACCCCTGTAGTTACTGTCCTTTGTTCCAGTTTCTTTCAGGCATCTCTTTGGGGTGGAGAGGCTATCTTCTGAGCCAGCTGAAGACACAATGGAGGGGTTTCCAGATGCTTATATAGTCTCTCTTGTGGGTGGAAACCCCTCTCTTCTCCTGTGTTAAATCCCCTCCACAAGATGGAGTTTTGCAGTCACCTGGGCAAGTCACATGTCTATGAATGATTCAGCTTTTTGTAGGCCGGGACTCCATTGTTTACATGTTAGTTTGAACGTTCCCAGGAAAGCTTAGATGTGGATTGGCATCTCCTAAGTTCCATTGTTAGCTAAGTACTCCCAATTACTTGAATAACCCCTTCACACTATGTTGACCAAATCTGCCTTATGTGCTTCCTACAGCAAACGCTTTAACTACAAGCATAGACCCAACACTCATAACTTCAGATATAAAAATGATATTTGCATCTGAATAGGATGAATACATTCTGTAGAACATAACCTTTGCAAAGATACATCACATGGCATATCTAGCATAAAACATATTCCAGTTATGTCATATTTACACTCATAAGCATATTTCTATAAAGCATTATACAGTGCAACGTCACAGTGTGGTACCCTATAACTGTAGCAATTATGCCTGTCAGCTGTCTCTAAAGAGAAAGCAAGCAGGTTGACCTTGGACAACCTGTCTGTGCTGGGAAATACGCAGTGAAGACGGGGAACTGTGCAGCCTGGAAATATCCTGCTCAAAAGGAAGAGGGATGAGCCTCTCCACCCAAGAGAGGTGACGGCTGGAAAGCTGGAAGCCTGGGAATGGTGCCCTTGCTGGACCACTGAGGGGAAATACAGGTGCAGTTGTCCTAAATTGTGACAAATACAAACCAATGACTCAGTTCCATCTGGTGTTTGTGCATCTGAACTATGATGTAGGCCTAACATAGACTATAAAATCCTTGAGATGGAAACCATGAATTCCTCTACGTTCAGTACAGTATAGAGCACGGTAAATAATACATAAATAGGTACTGTTCATCCTTTGGCCTTCATAAGCAGGTGTCTGTTTAATGCAGATGTCTCAATATTTCTTTCAAATTATGAGGTGTTTTTTTTTTTTTAACTTAATGTGAGGCACACAAAATCTTTTAGACATGTTAAAGCACTGAAAATAAATTTTGTGGACTTGGTACTACGTTGTGCAAAGTGTGGAGAAAGCACAAGGTGAACAGCAGTGAGCACGACAGGAAGTGTATAGGAATCTGAACCTGCACTAATGAAAGAACTACTTTGTGGCTGCCAAATTACCACTGCCAACTAGCAGAAGTGAGGCCTAAGAAGCGAACGCATAGCTGAGAGCTTCAGACTTATGATGAGGGTTACATTTAAATCCATAAATCTTTAGAAACTCTCGTAATTTCTACATGACCTTCCCCTTATGCACTTTGGCTTCCTTACATTCAAGAAGATGTGGAAGAAGCTTGAGACTTACTGCTGCTCAGGGCTGAGGACTGTGCCTAATCCATAATGTTACTTGTGCCTTTGCCAAGCCTGTGCTTACATTTGCACTCCCTGCAAGAATATTCATAAACTCAGAGATTTTAAGGGGAAGAAGGGACCTTTATTACCTACAGAGCACAGGCCATAGAATTTTACCTAGGAATTCCTGCATCAGTCCCAAAACTTCTGTCTGAGCTTGAGCAAAGCTTTTAGAAAGACATCCAACCATGATTTAAAAGATTTTATCACACCCAAGGTAAATTGTTCCAGTGGTTAAGTAACCTGATTGTAAAAAATAAATTACACTTTTATTTCTAGTCTGAATTTGTTTAGCTTTAGCTTCCATCCATTAGATCTCATTATGCCTTTGACTGCTAGATTTGAAGAGCTCCCTGCTATCAGAAATCTTCCCCCCATGTAGGTGGTTCCAGACTGTGGTTAACTCACCTTATAACCTTTTCTTTGTTAAGACAAATTGATTAGGCTTCTCTCACTGTAAATCAGGTTTTCCAAACCACGGATCATGCTTGTAGCTCTTTTCTGAACCCTTTTTGTCAATGTCTATTTTAAAGTGTGGCCCCCAGAACTAGACACAGCATTCCAGTAGTGGTCTTGCTAATGCAGTCTTCAGTGGTAACAACACCTCCCTACTTCTATTCGGTATTCCCCTATTATATATCCCAGGAGTTCATTTGTTTTCTTAGCCTCTGCAACCTGCTGCAAGTTCATGTTTAGTTCATTATCCTCCATGACCCCCTAAGTCCTTTTCTAAGTCACTGCTTTCCAAAATACAGTCTGCTATCCTATAAGTGTGACCTGCATTCTTGGTTCCAGGTGTGTGACCTTGTATTTAGCTGTACTAACATACATGATGTTCAAGTGAGTTCCCCTTACCACATGATCCAGATCTCTCTGTAGAACTGACCTGTCCTGGACATTATTTACCCTTTCTCTAAATATTTGTATCACCTGTAAACTTTAGCAGTAATGATTTTGTGTTTTCTTCCAGACCATTGCTAAAAATATTGAAGAGCATTTTCAGGGTCAAAGCTTAAATTGGAAAGCTAGCTGAGTGTTTGGACCCTGTTTGTAGACTTTTGTGACCATTTGCTGAGATAAATAAAGGCTTTCCATTCCTGTACATTTTAGTAGTTTGTTTCTTATGCATAAGTTTAAATGTATAAATAGTTTATAAAAGGTTATTAATATAATTTATACTTATTGTGAAGAATGTGGGTATTATCTGTATTTATATATATATAAATAGTAGTAGTTAAATTTATATATAATCTGTGCACCAGCAGGGTCCACATGGGCCAGTTAGTGCAAGATATGCTATTGTGAATTAAAATGTACACCCTTCTGGTATGGATTAAAGCACTGTTTAAATAAGCCTTTAGTTAGCTTTGGTCTGGAGAAGCCAAACTCAGTGACTCTGGACAGCCCTCATTTCTGGTGCCCAAACAGACAATGTAGGTGTTAATCTTTGAAAGTTTACCTCAACTGATATAGAAACAGAACCCACAAAATGGGGAAAGATCCTTGTCTGAAACAAACCTCAGGGGCTTTTCAGGTGGGAAAGCACTTTTAAAAGCTGAGTCTCTGTGGAGACAGGAGAACACTGACTGGCAGACAGAGCTGAGGGGCACAAGCTACAGAGATGCAGCGTGCCTCAACAAACCCAATATGGGGGAATGCCTGGGACAAATGGAGCCTTCTGAACTTGCAAGGAAAGGCTAAGGTATAGATAGGATAATATGTTGTTAGGCCTTTTGTTTTATTTTGTTGTTATGATCCTAAGGGTAATTAAATAATACTTTGTTTGGAAGAAACTGTTCTCTGTCACTGCATTTTCATGCTGGTGATGAGCTCCTGGAGTGAAAATCTAAGCAGTGGCTAAAACTCAGCAGGCCCTGCTGAGGATATGGTTCGTAGATGGGTACTGTAACCTAGTGGCCCAGTCAGAGAGTGGGGATAAATCACAGAACTCCACCTTGAGAGAAATACAGATGTGGGCTGGTACTTGGAAGGGATGTCCATGGGAAGAGAGAGAGGTCAAAGACACAGGCTGCCCTGGAACTGTAAACAGTTTTGTTATGGACATGAATAGTGTGTGTTATAGACTGTTATAAACCGTGTTTCTAATCAGCTTAAAAGTCTGTAAAAATTGCTTGCTTGCTTATTTATTTATCCTTTATAACCATGTATAAATGTTCCTTTAATATAAGGCATGGCTACGTTTTGTGTTGATTTTACAGGTAAGTGGATGGCGGGTAATGTGTTATACGATGTGACTTATAGGGAGTCAGGAACACTTGCAGGGCCAAAAAATGTAATGGCTGTTCAGACAAGTGACTGTAATTAATAGGTGAACATCAAAAGAAGTTTCACTCTGGAAGGAGTAGAGACTAAGTTATTTCATAAATGTGACATTTTAACAAACCACTAAGGCCTGGGCTACACTTAGCTGAAGATGAAGCATCTTAGTTTGACTTACCTGGCCTTCCTCACAGCAGCAAGTTGACCGTCGACTCTGCTTACTCCTCCTGCTGAGGTGGAGTACAGGCATCGATTTGGGGATTGATTTATTACGTCTAGACGAGATGCGCTAGATCGATCCCCGATAGATTGATCACTACCCATAGTAACTCTCTGTAAATTATACTTTTAATATTTATTGGTAATTATTTCAATCTCTTTAAAGTTAAACAAATTATGAAATATTGCAGTTCACAACAATATTGTTTTGGTGGAAATATATTCTAGACATTGAGGAATAAAGGGGAAATTGTATTTCTGCTCCTTGAAAGCAAGTATTTTAATATGCTTACCTTGTTTTATATGATGCAGAATGGAGAGGCAGGAAAGGAAACAGAAGAAGAAAAAGATGCAAACAAATCTGAGATCAGCATAGTGTTTGAAATTGCCTTGAAGCGCAACATGCCTGTCAGTTTTGAGGTATGTGTTATATATGTGAGTAGACCAGTTTATATATTGAGCTGTTCTGCTGTCTTCCGAGTGTTTATAAAAATGTAATAAGCAACAACTAAAAGCAAAAGGGCTGGGTGAGAGCATTCATTACAAATAAATGCATGCAAATTCTAAATAAGAAAAGAAATTGAAAATTAATCCGAGTCTAAGGTGTCATTTTATATTATTAAATTGGCTGCTCTGTCAAATAAATGTGGGCCAAACATGTAGACACTGATAGGTCCATTGTCCTTCAGTCTTTAATGGATGGTAGAGTGACTCTTTGTTTATCCTTTGCCATCATGGGGTGTAAATTGGAATTGATAGCCACATTCAACACAGGAAAAAAAAACCCAAAAAAACAAACCACACACTCCGAGAGAGAGGCAACCTAGACCTTCTCTCCTAATCCTGGGAGATGCTGCAAGACATTGAGACACCATGAAAGCTCCCATAAGGACACTTAACACATGTCCCCTTCTCAAAGAGTTATTGGAAATGCCCTCACTTTTTTTTTTCGTATCTCTGCTTCAGTCTCCACATCTTTCTCCTCCTCAAATCCCATTTTATCTATGGGCCAGACTCTCTCTTAATGTTCCTTATTTAGGCCCTAATCCTGTCAGTACTTCAGCACATGCATAACTTTACTCACATAACTAGTCACCTAGACTACAATTGCTTATATAGTTAATGGTTGTATTATTTATCTAGTGCTATAAGGGTACAAGCTGCTTTACAGTAATGGTGCCAAACAAATAACAGGTTCCTTGCCACAGAAGGGTTTATACTCCACAGCCACATGCTCCTACATTGTAGGGTTTCATAGGGCAGCCTGCCTGGAACACCCTCCTGTGGTAGGTTATGGCATGACAGGTACACCTGCTTCAGTTTTCCCTCCCAGGTGGCCTAATATCACTTCTGGCTTTCTTATTTCAATATTACCCCTCCTTGGGACTAGTTTATTACAGCACCATAGTCCACAAGAGGAGTCCCAAATATGTAGTCCAATTCTCACCCCAGTGCAAGCCGTCATTAAAACTTAAGACCTCTCATTCCTCAGTGCCCCGCATACTGGTGAATTCAACCATGCCCAGACTTTCAGTCCTCTCCTGTCCTTGTTCCAGGACAGCCACCTCAGCCCTTCCAACAGTCTCATTCTTCTCAGTGGGAGTGCCCACAGCCTCTCTGCTGGGAGTATCCTTCACTCCCCCTGGCACTCTCACGGTTCTGGCTCTCTGGCCCTGGAGATGTCAGTGGGTAAGCTACTCTGCTGCTCCTCCTGTCTTCAGCCCTTTCTGGCCCTCAGTTCCAGCTCTCAGGCTTAGGGTCAGCAGGCAACTCCCTCTGCTGCTCCTCCTGTCTTCAGCCCTCTCTCAGGAATGCCAACCAGCAAACTGCTTGTGCTGTTCTCCTGCCTTGTCCCAGAAACTACCTTCAGCTTTCTTCTGGGACTCCTCCAGTTCTCTGATCTCGCCTGCCCTTCCTGACTGAAACAGTTTGCTCTGACTCTCTGGGAGTCCTTCTCACTGGGTCTCTCCCTGATCCTTTATAGCACCTAGGTGCTGCATCTCCCTCTTAATTGGCCAAATGGGAGCACCAGCTGTGGCACAGGGGTGCTGGCTCCAACTTCAAATATAGGGGCCATTTACCCTGTGATGGAGTCATACAAATCAGTACACTTAACATATAGGGAGATGGGTAATGAGTCACACAGTAGTTGGGCGTTTGGAAGATTTTTGAAGGTAAAGAGTGACGGTGCTTTGGAGGTGTTAATCAGGAGGTTGTTGCAGCCATAAGTGGTGTCAAGTAAGAAGACGCGAAGATGGGAATGTCTGATACAGGGAAACTCTCTACTGTGCCATTTGCATGAGAATATTCTGAAGAATGTTATTACTATTAATGATGTTTCCATAAATTATAAAAGGATAATTTCTTGCCCGCCTACCAAGAGGGAACAACATATAATTAATTCCCTCTGATTTTAAAAAACTTCCCAATATAATTTTTTTTTAATCTCTCAAAAACATAACAATTTTTCTGTGTGTGTTATTTAGTGTCATTAAATGTAAATGTTGTTGACATTCTTAGGTAGAATTGAAGCTTAACCTGTGTATTGTTTTAAAAAGATACCTTATATTTCAGTAAAATGACTAACCAAATTTGTGATAATCTACAGGATCTGGTGTTTCTAATGAGATTGTTCTCAAGAATATTTTGTATTATTCCAGTCATGCATTAAAGCTTTCATTATCTTTATCATACGATAGCTGTAGAATGCTCAGCAATTTCTTCATCTGACAAAGCTTTAGTAAATATTAAAGCTGTGCTCTGTTACATAGATGAGCAAATGGTTAAAGATATTTAACGTTTCATGTGAACAGTTTTCCAGAATTGCATAATATTTGGAGAATGGGGAGAGTTTGTAATGTAACTTAGGGGCCAGGTTCTGCCCTATGATGTCAGTGTGGCTGTATGGGTGGAACAGAGCAGAATTTGGTCCTGGCAGTTTGGCTAATGGGGAATTACACAATCACATAATCTCACTTACTCTGCCTGATAAAGTAAAGCTAGTATTTGTTCTCCAAGAACTTCCAGAAGCCATGTAAAGCAGTTTCTGTGTATTAAAGAATTGATTTTTAAAAATGCCTTAAAGTATCAATATTCTATAGCATAACAATTTTACTCTAGCCCAGTAGCTGGTATGTGCTTTCCGGGGCTGTTTAGAGGCCAGACGGATAATAGCATCCCCCCACTGCAGCAACTTGCAGCTATTTTAGCACTTGTGTGGGTCTGTTACGGAGCAGGTTTTAAAGATGAGTACGGTCGTCAGTCACCCTATGACAAGGGTAGTCAATTATTTTTTGTCAAGGACCAAATTTCTTGGTCAAGGTCCAGACTCCAGAGAAAAAAATAATAAGAAAAACAATAATGATAATAAGTAAATGAAAAGATTTCAGGGTCTGTTCAAAAGCATCTGGCGGTCCGGATTTGGTCCATAGTCCACCAATTGACTACCCCTGCCCTATGAGCTGTTGCTGCAGAGCAAGGGTTTTGCCTATTGCTTCCTGCTGGGCAGTATAGAGAAATCTCAGCCTTTTGCCTTCATTATTTCATGGAGGTTTATGCATTTATGTTCTGTGTGTGTGTTCTGGTTTTTTTCCACTCTTTAAAGACAGGACTATAATTTAATGTTGCAGTTGGCAAATTTTGAAGGGAGAACCATGCATTGTTTGGGTGGAAAATACCATGTGTCAGGGTGTGGCAGTGTATCCCCACCCTGTCTCCTGTTGAAGCGGACCATGGATGTGCTGACACCACGGTTACTGTCCACCCAACTGTTTCAGGCCTTATCATGATAAGGCACAAAAGATTCAAAAGGGCAGCCCTTGGGTTCAGGGCAGTGAGGCCTAGTGGCCAGCCTCAGTACTGTGGCCCTTGAGTTCAGGGCTGTGCGGCCAAGGGGCCAGAGTCATTTCAGCTGCCTTCCTGGTCAGGGCCATGCAGCCTAGTGGCCAGAGTCAGTACAGCTGCCCTTAGGGTCAGGGCTGTGTGGCCTAGGGGCCAGAGTCAGACAAGTGGGCCCCCACCTAAGGGTTGATGGTGGTGGGGGAGAGTAGGGGGACCCAGCTCCTCCCTCTCTCCTGGGTCCCGAGACAGGGCCCTGTCAGTCGTGAGCATGGTCACCATCCTGTCAGCGGGATTCCTACTGCAAGACGCTGACCTTCCTCGGGTGCGAGGTACCACTCACTCCACTCCCCAGGCCACTTCCTCCCCTGAGTCCTGAAGCTGGGGTCCGTTTGTTGTTGGGGTCTCCAAGCTTCTTGGCATAGGTAGCTTGTTGGGACTCTGACTTCTGTTGACTGGCTGTGGGTAACTGGTCTCCAGTCTGGGCCTCAGGCTCTCTGGTTCCTACAGTCAGGGGCTGAAGCAGGCTCCTGGGCTGGAGCCTCCCCTGAGTGTCCTCCTTCCCCAGTAGTCAGCCTGTAATGAGCTGGGCTTCTCTCCTTTATACTAGTGCAGCATTTGGAGAATGCCCAGTCAGGTCTAAGGGGCGGGACTTGCACCACCTATATTGTGGGATTAACCCTTTCCTCCTAGTGCGTGGTATGCATGCGCCATCACAGATGGCTTTCGCGTCAGTTACATGTTTCCCTTTGCTAGGAGTCACAATGAAAATTTCTTTCCCTGTCTTGTTTTCAGCTTTCAGGCTGAGATGGGGAGTCTAAGGAGGTTTAACTGATTTGGCCTACTCAAGGCTTTAGAACAACTATACAAGATTGCTATTGTCCTCTTGCCAGGGGCTAGTTTTTTATTTTAATTACTTTATTTATTTTGGGTGGGCAAGTAAAATAACATCAATTTTTCATTATCAACATCAAGAGTGAGAAGATTTTGGTCTGGCAAATTTTCATGATGATTATGCAAGACTGCATGAGGAGAAGTAGGAGAGAAGTGTCTTTCTGTCCCATTGGCATTGAGAGGCAGGAAGGACCCAAGCTAATCACTTGGAAAGATAATGGATTGCCTAATGCTGTGACCAAGTTCTCATCATGAGATTTGGTGCCCGTTCTCAGGCCTACCAGTCTCTAAGCACATGTTTGGTAGTTCCCTTCTAGCAAGGGTGGAAGGATGTCAATTTTCCTCACTCTGACGTGTGGGGACTTCTTGCTCAAAGGGTTTAACAGTAGAGTTTCTATATGTTTGATAAAGATGTGGATTTTTTTTTAAACTGGCAAAATACCACATTTCTGCCTGTGTTTTCATTTGCATTAACCTGTGGATTTATTTTGGTATTTTCTCAAACCTTAAACAGGGATGGTTATAATTGACTTTGGGCTTGTCTAGATTAGGCCCTCCCACAATTTGGGCTATGGGGGTGTGAATAGCAGTGTGCACCAAAGTGCTGTGCTGTAACACCCTATGTGGATGCTTTATTATAGTTCTGTTTGAAGAAGATTCTGTTAACATGAACTAGGAACCTTTAGTTCACACATGCTGCGTCCACACGGGGGAGTTAAAGTGCAGCACTTTGCACACTATACACCCCTGTAGTCTGAACTGAGGGGCTGTGTAGACATAGCCTTCGTTTCATCTACTCGGCTTTTTTTCTGCTTCTCTGTTAGGGTTTAAAAATGTCTCCATTTAATCTCAATCTCATCTTTCAAAATGCCATCTGTGGGCTTCTCCTTTGCTTTGTCCTGTCAGCAGGGGTTGGGGGCTCATGTTTTACATCTTCAAGCATTCTTCTCAAGTGTGTCTTCCAAGCTGAGATCAGCCTTCTGCATGTACTCCTAGAAAAAGGTGTGTTGAGGCACTGAAGATCTTCCTGTAGTCTTTGCCCCCATGATGACCACTAGCTCGTTAGTCTCTGGCCAACATATCCCACATCTCATCATCTCAAATGACCCAGACATCTCAGTCTACACTCTCCCTTACTTCACTGCTATTGTGCTCCTGTTTTTTAATTTGTCAGAGTGATTCATTAAATTGACCTGAATTCATCCCTGTTATAATTTAACCTTTGGCATGACACCAGGCATGAATTTGGCCCATTGTATGTTCTCATGGTGGAATAAGACTGACAGAAAGAGAAAAATATTGCTGTTGCTGCTACTCAGATTCTCAGCTGCAGGATGAATCTCTCAACTCAAGGAGCATTGTAGTGTGCTAGCATCTAAAGTGGGTAGCATTTTTGTTTAGTGACGATTGAACTCAGTTATAAACCTCTGTATTCTTGGATTTATAGCACAAATGTTTTAAAGCATATTAAGTAGAGGAAGCTTTAAAACACTCTGAATTTCTGGGGTCAGCCAAAAAAAGGTTTTAGGTTAAGATGGTTGTTGCAAAAGAACCTAACTTTGGTATTGGGCCTGATCCAAAGCCCACTGACGTCAATAAGAGTCTTTGCCGGCCATTATTTTCCATGTGCAGTGTATCTACAATATAAAGGGTTAAAGAGACACTAGGTTTTTTTTAAAAAAAATTCTTTTTACATTAAAAATACTTTTTAGGAACTTGACAGTGGTATTTCTTCCGCAAGTAGTTTTGCCCTTTCCCATTTGGTCAATATAAATATTTCTGTATGTTTCTTTTGTCTGAGTATGAGTAGTTTTATAAATACATTATACTATATAAGAATACAAACACCTATCCTGTGCTATTGCCAGGATCATGATTTCAAACACTCAAAAGATGGGAAATGAAAATGCTAAAGTTCTTGTAGTCATTTTAAATTAAACATGTTCCACAATCTGTCCATGTTATACTATTCATATAACAACATCCGGTAATATACTAAGGTACAAATTTAAAAGAGACTGGAAGATACCATTGCTGTGAAGACATAACCTCTTTTCCCCTGACTTCAGGGTTGAAAATTATTGCACAAAAGCCTTGAGGTGTACTTTCATATTTTAATTTTCCTAGTTTAAAAATAAAAGAATGTTAAAATCTTTTGCACAGTATAAGTTCTGCTCTGCTGGAGGTTTAGGGTGTTCCAAAAAGAAAGAAACTCTGGTTCAGAATTTTTGGCCTGCTATGTACCATCTGTGCCCCTTCAGAAGGAAAATGGAACAGAAACGCTAGATCTCCCTCTTTTGACCACGCTGGAAATTCACAACTAGACTGATCAAGCCCTGTGTACGGAGAAAGGATGTAAGAAACCTCTACGGCCTAGTTGCAATCTTTGCATGGTGTTAAATGCAAGGGTAAAATCTTGACTTAATTGAAGTCGGTGGTAAAACTTCCATTGGCTTTAGTGGGGCTGGGATTTCAGGCAGGGTCCTCTTCTAACTAGTGCCATAATAGTGCACTCTAGGGTGGGGAGGAAATTCTTATCTCAATACAAAGATTGAGGGCAGTCCTGAGCTAAAACTAACAGAATCCACAGACTTCTTTTTTCTGGGAAAATTCGAACATAGTTGTCTGTTCACCTTCATTTTGTGTCTTTTGATTGATGTATGTACTGACTTATATTTTCATGTGAAATTACAACAAAACAGAGTTTGAAAAAGAAATACATGCTTAAGGAGACCCCATTACAGGGTAGTGGCTAAACTAAATAATGCAGGGATTCTCAAACTGGGGGTCGGGAGGTTATTAAATGGGCGGTCATGAGCTGTCAGCCTCCATCCCAAACCCCGCTTTGCCGCCAGCATTTATAATGGTGTTAAATATATAAAAAAGTGTTCTTGATGTATGGGGCGGGGGGAAGGGGCATGGTCCACTCAGAGGCTTGGTATGTGAAAGGGGTCACCAGTACAAAAGTCTGAGAACCCCTGAAATAATGCAAGGGACATGATCTTGGGGGGGAAAAAAAGACTTCAATACAAAACATGTGGAAATATTTTTAAGATTGAGGGTTTAAACCTATTAAAAGCACAGTTATTGAACTAAGACTGGCTTAGCACCTTTATCTGAGTCCCCTTGTATTGTGGCATTGCTTTTCTTCAGCAAATGGTTCTGTCCTACTGGGCAATGCTGCATACTACTGAAATAATAAGTATTTATTTTGATTTTGAAAGTAATAGAAAAAGGTGCCTATTCAAAGCTCTGGGTACCCCAATACACATGAAAACAAAATTAAATTTAATTAAATAGCTGCTTCCTCCTCCAACAACCAGCAGAACTGAACTCCCTCCCAAACACAAAACTCCCATCCCCCAGGCAGATCTAATCTTCATCAAACCAGTTTGCATGGAAAAAAGCCGTACTTGTGATAAGCACCTCATGGTCATGTCTTTACATTGTGTTGATGCATTACAAGGTTAAAGATGAGGTATGTGTTCTTATATGATAATTTGACTTGAAATAATTTTCTGATCAATAGGTGATTAAAGAAAGTGGCCCTCCACACATGAAGAGCTTTGTTACTCGAGTTTCAGTAGGAGAGTTCTCTGCAGAAGGAGAAGGAAACAGTAAGAAACTCTCAAAGAAACGCGCTGCAATTGCTGTCTTACAAGAACTCAAAAAACTTCCACCTCTTCCTGTGATTGAAAAGCCAAAACTTTACTTTAAAAAACGCCCAAAAACAATATTAAAGGTAAGTGTCTGTATATGTCACAACAAGCAATTCTCTTAGGAAATCATAGACTTATTAATATTAAAGATAGAAAAGACCTATATGATCAAATAGTCCATTCTGCTGCCACTTCCTTGTTCATGTCATTACATATTTATCTGTATAACTTGAATTTTAAATTGTCTGGGTATGTTGGGATTTTCTAAAATCCCAACAGTCATGGCTCTAATTGTCATTTGTCATATTTCATTTGTGACAAGAAAGAAAGCTTTTCCATAAATGTATCAAATGTATTTGCCCAAAAGATGTTGCCCATTACAGTCTAAAGATGTAGCACTATAGTCAATGGAAGTTCTTCCATTGACGTCCTGTGGGGCAAGATTCATAAATTCAAAGGCCAGAAGGGACCATTGTGATAATTTAGTCTTACTTCCTGTATAGAATAGATCTCCTCTCTCAGAACCCATGTTGCTTTGTATTGAGGAGTATCTCCTAACAAGAGACAGAAAAACGGTTATCTACTTCTCTCTCAGCTCTCACAGTAAAACTCCCATGTGGTGGTAAAAAGTTCTCTGTAATAAGGCAGCATTGCAAGGACTGGTTCTTATTAAGAAAAGTAGCCTCTCTAGTCACCTGTTTAAAATACTTTTATTTTATTAAAAAAAAGAGATGTTTCTTATTTTTCCATGTTTATTTGTAAATCTTTAATTAAATATTCAGTATAGGGAGTTACAGTATTTTGTAGATAATCCATGTGGTCATTTACTCAGTGGTTGATGACGCAGTGTGATTCAAGGTGATAGCTATTGATCTGGTACATGTGAAGTGTCTTTATTCCTAACAGTTGATACCTTTATTGTCAAAATATTGCAGTACCCAAATAATTATGCACTAGGAACCCAGACATTGTCATAGTAATATTGTAGTCTCCTGTGTACAGAAAGAGTAAATTGCAGCTCTTGGAATGCTTTTCTCTTCTTAAGTTAGATGTAAGATGTTAGTTCACATTTTAGCTAGATCACTTACCCATTTCAACTCAAGTTTCAGGTTAGGAATAGATTTATCTAGCACTGATACAGGTATGTCTTCCTGTCTGTATCATATGATACAATTAATATAGGTTTCTCTGAGCAAATAATATAGTGCCATAACTCCAGTAAGCAAAGTGTGGATTCCTTGGAGACCACTGTCCCAGTTACCATTAATATGCAAGAGAACACATGCAGCCGAATGGTTTTTGCAGTAGTTCTCTCAGCAAGTCTTTTAATCAGTTGTTGTTGCTACTTAGGTGTCCTCTGTTTCGTTAGTTATTATTGCGTCTTATTTTTGCCCATATGGTTTATTTTTAAGATTTTTTTTTTATTAAGCTGTCAAGTGCTGAGACAAAGCAGTCCAGCTGCTTCAAGCTTAGTTCTTAATGCATTCATAATGTTTACAAACAAACGTGAGTAACACCATTTGGGTCTGAAGGAAGGCCATGTAGTCTCCAACCACAGCAGTTTGTCAATGACTAAGAAGCCTGATTCCAGTTGATTTTAGCAGCCTCAGAATATTTTACACATTCATCTAACTTGCTATCCTGAAAATCTCTTAAAAGTCAAATGTTTACTTCATGCCCTTGGAAGATAGACTCTGTTGTCAGTGCTCTCAGCTTGAAGGAGACTCAGTCACTATTCCCTGGGTGCAGCTTCAGTCTATTTGATTGGTTAATCAAAGATAGTATCTTGGAAAGAGTCCAAAGCTCTGTTCACATCACCATCAAGTGGATCTCTTTACACGCTCTGCAGAAAAACCATAGAATTACTTACTGCATGTGTCTACATTTCGGTTAGAAGTCATTTGATAACACTCTTCAGGTCTCAAAACCACATAAAAGATAGACCAGTTCCTTCTCCACCTTTAATGGTCAAACCCATGAAGAGCTTGTTGAATTTGAGCTATCCCTCCATTACAATCTTCCCTGTGTCACAGGATATTAATAGGCTTCTTACTACACTGATTAAGCTTCCTTTAGAGCCTTTAGATTCTTGTGAGCTCAAGTTTCCTAAATGGAGTGTTTATTCCTGGTGGCAGTAGATTTATGGCTGCTTCTAGGATTCATGAGCTTCAGTCCACAGTGACTGGTTCTGTTTTGTGCACTCATCCTAAATTCCTTCTGAACATGGGGCCAGCTGGCGTGACCAGCTTGCATCTGATCTAACAAAGGCTGCCATGTGATGTTCTCTACATACATTTATGAAACATTATTGAGTAGCCTTAGCAGCATACAGATACTCAGCTTAGCCGATCAGCACTTCAGTCCAGAAAGAGACTGTCAGTGGTCTAAATTAATTTGATTTTTGAGGATACCATTGTGTGGTGAAGTAGTTAACCTGATTCTCCATTGAGTAATCATTTACACCAGTGTAAAGTGAGTGCAAAGTGATATTCTGATTTGCAGCCTTTCATATCCATTTTGCACTATGTAAATGACTACCCTGGGTGCTGGGCAATGGAGAATCAAACCCTTTATGTCTAGAGTACTTCCCTGCTATTACATGTGGAAACAAGCCCTGAAGTCTGAAGACATACAGCATTATAAGTGCTGTCTTCAGAGAACTATTACTCTTTAAAGAAAAATAATTTCTTTGCAGAATATTGGGTTTTTTTGGATTAAATGATCATGCTTGTCTCTGGGTAACTTAAAAAAAAAATCTCTTCAGTTAATATTTCTGAGTTTAGTGAGGGTGGAAAAAATGCACTTTTCCTATTTTAAAGAATTCTGTCCATAATTCCTTGGTTTGATTTAGATAGCGCTATAGCAAAAATGTCTGAAATTTGAATTCTGGTTTGGACATAACAAGTAAAAATTCCCGCAAGCCTAATACTACAGGAACAACCACCTTACCAGAGCTTTGTAAAGTATGCAAGCTGAATAAGCAAATAGCTTTAGAGAGAGCAGCTGAACTTGGAAACTTTGCAAGCCACTTACTGCAACTGCTTTTAAATTTTTTTCCTCATTTCATTTTTCTTAAAATGGAAGGCTGGGATTTTTGAAGGTGTCAAAGGCCTGGTCTACTCTAGAAAATTTGGTCAGTTTAACTATGTCAGTCAGGGGTGTGAAAAATCTACATCCCTGGGTGGTGTAGTTAAGCTGACCTAAGTCCCCATGTAGACAGCGCTAGGTTGACGGAAGAATTCTTCTAGGAACCTAGCTGTCGCCTCTCAGGGATGTGGATTACCTATGCTGATGAAAGGAATCCTTCCTGTTGGCATAGGTAGTGTCTACAGTGAAGCTCTACAGCACCAGTGCTCCTCTAGTGTTTTAAGTGTAGACAATTCCTAAATTAGTTAGGCTTGGTCTACACTAGAAAGTTATACTGACATAACTAAGTCAGTCAGGTATGTGAAAAAATACCTCTGATCGATGTAGTTATGCCGACATAACCCCCAGTGTAGAAACAGCTAACTCAGTGGAAGAGTGCTTCATCAACATAGCTAACAGTGTTCAGGAAGGTGATGTCACTGACAGAAAAGCTCTTTCTGTATTTATGCTACAGGGCTAGACCAGCGTAGCAATGCCAGCATAGTTTCCATAATGTAGACCTACTCAGACACCCAATTCTTGCTGAAATTCGGTGGGAGCTAGAAGCCTAATTCCCTTAGGGTCCTTGGAAAATCATAGCCTAAAAATATTAAATGCAAAAACCTAACATTTATGGAACGTTAAAGCTTCTAAAAGCCAGGAAATTCAAAGAATTAAGGTGGCTCTGGCACCAGCGCTCCCGTTTTGACAGGTACTGCCCAGCTATACTCTGAATAGGGTTAGAAGACATGATTATAAAAATGTATAAGCCTCTTCTATGCTTTTGCTTCCACCATTCCTATATCTGAGGGAGCTAATTCGTGAATACTGGTGGTAAATTATGAGTCTGATGCTAGGCAGTGAAGATGCAGACATTAACAGGATTTGCAGTGTGGTCAAACCAACCACTTGCTACAGTTTCCACCTTAGGATCCTGATCCTGAGTCCCATGATCAAGTGACAATGCAGTTTGTTCATTTGGGCATGCTCTCTTGTCTAGTATATCACTCTGAGAGAACAGCATGGAAAAAATCTTATTAAAAGAACATGCAGTGTAATTGTTGCACTGGCATGTGCTGAAATAACTTGGGTTTTTTAAATCTTATTTTAGACTGGACCAGAATATGGTCAAGGAATGAACCCCATTAGCCGCTTGGCTCAAATCCAGCAGGCCAAAAAGGAGAAGGAGCCAGAGTATATTCTTCTTTCAGAGAGAGGGATGCCTCGTCGCCGAGAGTTTGTTATGCAGGTATTGTCTGATGTTATATTAGGAAAGATTCCTTTATTCTGTTATGACCAAGCACAAGAAGAACAATGGTGGAATATAAAGCTGATCCCATCTAACATTGTTTAGCTCTTTACATATCATACAGTTAAGCAGCAGGAGTACAAAATTTGCTGCTAGCCATTTTAAAAAAAAGGCTATTTGACCTTTTCCTTTCTGTAGATGAAATAAATCCAATTAGATGTGTAATCCCTTTCTAAAGTGATAGCTGTTTTCCCTCTGGTGTTTTTGCTTTTCTTAAACTTTTTTTTTTAGCGGTGGTCTTCTTTCACCTATTTGTTTTATTTCCTTATTTTACTGTCTGTTCATGATTTACTTTATTGTTTTTGTTTTTTCCTTTGCTACACTATCCTGACAAAAACTTTGTGATGACTGATGGATGAATTTAGAAAGATCAGAAACTGTAATACAAATAAGTATCCACAGCAGTCCAGGGCTAGGGGAGAGCGCCTCTCCACACCGGGGCAGCTCCGGGGCTGAGGAAGAGGCACCTCTTCCCACCTGCGCAGCCCTTGATAGCCTGCTGCGCAGCCCTTGATAGCCTGCTGCACAGCCGCGCAGCTTAGAGGGAACTTAGGATGTAGCTCATTAAACTTGTTGTGGTTTCACTGAATTTAAAAGCTTACCTTAATGTTTTCCCATCTTGCCCCACTTTTTCCTTCTGCTCTAGAATTGCATCGTTACCCTCAAAATTTAGTGGCCTTTGTTTGCAAGGTGTTCAATACTGTAATGAACTCTCTTTAAACTAAAATGTTACTTTTCCCCTTCAGTTTTCTTATTTGAGAGTTTCCATTATGTCCTTAGAACTGTGGTTTCTAATTTTTTTTTCACATTGTGTAAGGGTTTGAAGCCAGGAGATCCTATAACAGACCATCTAACCTCCATCTTTCCCTGGCCATTCTCAATCTGAGATAGTTCTGTGCACAGTCAGAAAGGGTGCTGTGCACTACAGATCAGTGTTTGAGAACAATTTCACCTTGAATTTGGATTTGCTTTGTAGGCAACCTCAGTGCTTTAATAGTGAAATATTTGGCTTTGAAGGGGAAAAAAACTTTACACTGAACTGTGTTACTCCCTTGCCTAAGAAGACTCTTGTGAAAGGGGGAGTTAAAGTAATTCTGTAGCCCAGCTGCCTTTTTATGGGTGTTCATAAACAGTGTAGCCTAAACAGGGACTTTTGGCCTTGCTTTATAATGCTTTCACACTAAAACGATATTGCTTTTTTTCTCCCACCAGACATCCCACTGGATTCATTAGTGCATGCAAAAAACTTATCTAAGTAAAAAGTCTTTTGTATAAACTACTTAAACAGTGTTTTCATTTGATTTAATTGAATGTGGAAGTAAAATATCCAGAGATAATATGTTCATTTTTATCTGTCACACAAAGAGCAAGTTTAGATGTGATGAAATGGATCCAATTACTTGTCCTGACCGTTACATAAACAGAAGAAAACCTCTGATGACATTAGTTGGTGTTCTGTTCCCAAAGTTAATTTAGGAAAGCTCGCTCTTTGTAGTCAGACCTTTAATCCTTGATAGAGGTTATAATAATAGCCAAACCAGTTTTACAGGTCTGAGAAATAGCAACACATTGATTTATTGTGCACTACGCGATAAATTATCATTTTTGTTTCGCCTCATTAAGGTTCTTCAATTTTATTACATACAAGCTCATTGCAATTTGGTTATTTTCTAATCATGACTGCAAAGTTAACTGTTACTTCAAGCTTCAAGTTCCAGATTTCTGTTTTCATAATTTTGGATGTTTTTGCTTAATTATGCCTTCTTTAGTTTGCAGAGAATATTTAGAGTATTTGCTTGTTTCTGTATGTACAATAGATATTTAAAACCAAAACAGGATAATCTAAATGTTTTTGTAAACAAAGATTTATTTGATAAATGAGTACCTGGAAAACATGTTGATTTCAATTAACAAGATTTTTTATTTCTTTTTCAAAAGCTGATATTTTAGAATTTAAAAAACAGTAAGATTTGAGACATTTGACCTGTGAAATTTTTGTTTGGATTGTTTTATGAAGTAGATTATTACTTCCTAACTGTTGTATATACTTTTGCAACCATGCACCATTTTTGAAACAGGATCTGGCAAATAAAATGACTGAATGCACCAAGTAAAATATGGGTATTGAAGAATTATGAATGACCTGAGAATGAATAGGGGACATTTGGTGGACAATAGTCATAAACTAGGAGCATGCAGCTTGCACAGTTTATGAATGGCAGCAGAGCCCAAAGACTAAATTACAGCGTTATATTCTCTTTGTGGACATCTGTTGTTTATAATATGTCATTTTTATTTTGAAGTTTTAACTGCCTTTCCTATGTGGGACTTCTTGGTTGGCAGGAAATCCTTTATGTTGTACAGACCACATTTCCAGTGAGACCTCAACTTCTCAGAAAACGTGTTGATGGAAGATCATCCAAGGGCACAGGCATAATTGTTGAAGGAGAAGAAGAGGCTCATGCCCTGCCCAAATCCCCCCCTTTCCCCTCCGCCCCGTGATTTCCACTCCAATATTGTTTGCCCTATGGCTGGGGAGGATAAAGATGAAAAGCGTTCTCCCTCTTCCCCCAAAACATCCAGTACTCTTTCTATTAATGTCCATTTAATTTCCCCTGGACCAAGCCGTTCTCACTGGGAACTTACATTGGCATAGCGATGTAAGTCTCTCGGGGGTGAGAAAAATTCACACCCTGGAGAGACATAACTATGCCAACCCAACCACTGATATTGACATTGCTAGATCAAGAGAGGTCTTCTGTAGACCTAGCTACCGCCTCCCAGGGAGGGGGATTACCTATGCTGACAGGAGAACCCTCCCATCAACATAAGTAGCGTTTATATTGAAGCGTTACACATAAGTTCATGGAGGATAGGTCCATCAATGGCTATTAGCCAAGATGGTCAGGGATGCAGCCCCATGCTCTGAGTGTCCCTGGCGTCTGACTGCCAGAAGCTGGGAATGGACAACTGGATGGATCATTCGATGATTGCCTGTTCTGTTCATTCTCTCTGAAGCACTTGGCACCGGCCACTGTTGGACAACAGGATACTGGGCTAGAAGGGCCATTGGTCTGACACAGTAGGGTCATTCTTATGAGATACCCATAGTTTCCACTTTGCTCTGGCTCCTAATGATGCTGATTGGCTTCTGGAGGTTTGCTGCAGCCAGTACATCCTGCAGGGGAGGAGAAAACTCAGAAGCTATATCACTTCTTTCTCCTGGGGGGAGGCAGGAGAGAGCAAGAGCTGGGGGCAGGGACATCAAGGAATGCAGAGAATAGGACCTGGGGGACACATGGCACAATCCTGGGGTATGCGGACACAGAGCTGGGTGGGGGGGGAACACAGTGCAGTACACATAAAATTCACAGGCACAGTCATGTATAGACACTCATACATTTATGGTATGCGTGATGGCCATGGTGTTTCTGGGACGAGAGGCTTTCAGAAGGAATGGAAGCAAGCTCATCTATGGAACCAGCTGCTTGTCCCCTCCCCCCAGATTTTGGTAAAGAAATTAGTCCAATAACCCCCTCTCAGCTTTTTTTTTTTTTTTTGGTTGCACCTGATGCAACTGACTATAGATCAACAAGGCTGTTGCAGTGTGTTACTAGACTGCCACAAATTTATCAGTGATTGTGATCAATATTTTTGTTTCATTTTAAAAGGTCAAAATAGGCAGTGAAGTTACTACTGGAACAGGCCCCAACAAGAAAATAGCTAAAAGAAATGCAGCAGAAGCGATGTTGCTACAGCTTGGTTATAAAGCCTCCACCCCTCTTCAAGATCAGCCAGAAAAGGTGAGAAAAGGTGGCCCAAAATCCAGTTCCATAAGATGTTGAGCTCTTGCAGCTCATCACTTTTTGCAGGAACCGGTGTAGCCTCATTAAAGCCAGTTGAGTAGTTTGGCCGGTCAGTGTTCATATTCTTCCTTTAGCTGCAGCTACATAACTTCATTGGATGGTAACTGCAACCCTTTCCTCTGCAAGTATAATTGAGGACAGCATATGTATGTACGTGTGCATGAATTTCATATTACCAAAATGCTCCTCTTTCCTTTACTCCCTTTGTGTGCCTGTTAGGATATTTCTTCCTCTTTGGGATTCCATGTCTTGTATAGGTCATTAACTTTCATGTATGAAATAGTTTTGATTTTTTGGCTCATTTACTCCAAACAGAAGCTACATTACAGAACCATCTAATAGGGTGAGCAGCAGGGTTGAATCAAATAGTGTACTTATAATGGTGTGTCACATTCTTGAGGTTGCCTCAGCATATACTCAAGGCAAATATCTATTTATGCCAACTTACATTTCAACATGAACTAAAAGCATGCTAGGATTTTTTTTTTTTTTTGCTCCAGGGCAACCTAGTTGTTGGACAAGAAAGTATGGTTGTGCCAATTTTGTTTGGAGCCAGAAAGAGCCATGCAATAAAGAGATCTTGGCGTCATTGTGGCTAGTTCCCTGAAAACATCCAGTCAATGTGCAGCGGCAGTCCAAAAAGCAAACAGAATGTTGGGAATCATTAAGAAAGGGATAGATAATAAGACAGAAAATATCATATTGCCTCTATATAAATCCATGGTACGTCCACATCTTGAATACGGTGTGCAGATGTGGTCTCTCCATCTCAAAAAAGATACATTTTGTAATTGGAAAAGGTTCAGAAAAGGGCTACAAAAATGATTAGGGGTATGGCATGGCTGCCATATGAGGAGCAATTAATAAGACTGGGACTTTTCAGCTTGGAAGAGGGATGACTAAGGGGATATGATAGAGGTCTATAAAATCAGGACTGGTGTGGAGAAAATAAATAAGGAAGTGTTATTTACTCCTCATAACGCACGAACTAGGGGTCACCAAATGAAATTAATAGGTGGCAGGTTTAAAACAAACAAAAGGAAGTATTTTTTCATACAGTGTAGTCAACCTGTGGAACTCCTTGCTGGAGAATGTTGTGCAGGCCAAGACTATAACAGGGTTCAAAAAAAGAACTAGATAAGTTCAGGAGGATAGGTCCATCAATGGCTATTAGCCAGGATGGGCAGGGATTGTGTCCCTAGCCTCTGTTTGCCAGAAGCTGGGGATGGATCAGCGGATGATTACATCCTCTGTTTATTACCTCTGGGGCACCTGGCATTGGCCACTGTTGGAAGACAGGATATTGGGCTAGATCAGGGGTTCCCAAACTTGGTTCACCGCTTGTTCAGAAAAAGCCCATGGCGGGCCGTGAGATGCTTTGCTTACCTGAGCATCCACAGGTACAGCCGTGCACAGCTCCCAGTGACCGCGGTTTGCCGTTCCTGGCCAATGGGGGCTGCGGGAAGCGGTGGCCCGGCCTGCACCGCTTACCGCAGCTTCCATTGTTCGCGAACGGCGAACCGCAGCCACTGTGAGCAGCTGTACCTGCGGACACGAAGGTAAACAAAGCATCTCATGGCCTGCCAGGGGCTTACCCTGAATAAGCCGTGAACCAAGTTTGGGAACCCCTGGGCTAGATGGACCTTTGGTCTGATCCAACATGGCCACTCTTATGGTCTCAAACTGTAGGTTATTTCTTAAAAGGAAATTGTGTTGAATGCATGTTGTAAATTCCTGTCTAAGTGACATGCTACTTAGCTCTCCTGATCTGCATTTAGTCCTGGGCTCATTGACAGAGGCATGTGTGACCCAAAGCGGCTTCTAAAACTCTGCCTCTTGCCATGACTTGTCTACATTGGAGGTATTTTATTCTGAAGTAGCTGCAACAGTACAAACCCACAATGTAGGCTTGTTACACCATTGTAAAAGTGGTTTGCATCATTGTGACTTGCAGTACTGTACCTATGCTGGTGCAGAAGTCCCCAGTGTAAACAAACCCTCAGTGTTCTTGTACAGACCAGAGAAGAGGTGGTGTGCCCCATACAGCACTTTGAGCTGGATGCACACATAATTAACTTGGGCTCTCTTCCTGATGTGCAGGGTATAGTGTTCAACTCCCTGAGCAGAACTAGAGGAAGAATTTACCTAAATCTTGGGATGAGCAGAAAGATAATCTATATTTTTCTGCTGGTCAGTGTGTTTATAGTAAATAAACTGAGGCATGAGACTAATATTCATTTTCAGCCTCATGTCATGTGCGCCACCAAGTCATTTAATCCACCTAGATATTTTAATTGCAGTTCAAAAGCCTACCCAGTGAACAATAAGTTATGTTTCACTTGTCCAGACCAGGATTTTAGTTGTCACGAAGAGTTGGAGAATAGGATTTGTTTTACTGGGGCTAGATTATTATCTGCTATGAACTGAGTTCAGAGTTCCCTGCTGTTAAACAATTTATTTCATTAATTTTCTTTAAAAAATGCTTTTTGTTCCTATCTGACCGAATTTTCTGATGCGATAATTTATACTATAATTTCAAAAAATTTACCTGCAAACATGTAATTGTGCACATGCATTGGGTAATTGCATGCTCTGTTACTGGTTTGCACATCTGCCCATTTCCACAGGTGCAAATTAGGTGGTGGTGTTTCAGAATTTAATCTTTAAGGTTTTTATATGGAGTGTGACTTTCATTCAGAGGGATATGTTTAATATTAAGAGTATCGTTTTATAAAGATAACAATTTTCTCAAAAGAACGGATTCGTAGGTTTTGATGGTTATAAATAGAATCTCATCTGGAGATGTGTAGGGCCACAACAAATAAAGATTTTTTTCTGCTACTTTAAGGAGTTGTGCATTGATGCGGTCTCTCAGAAGTAAAAATCTGGAAAGAAGTACTCTTGCATTTAAATGATTTTACAATTATTCTTCCTTTTTAAAATTATATGTAGTATGGAAAATCGTTTTTGGACTTTCAATAACGTAATTTTATTTCCAAGTTGAAAAGATAGGACAATAGGATTTTCTCCCATTCTTCCTCCTTCCTTTGGTGAATTTGTTTTTTTTTTCTTATCATAGTCCTCTCCCATGAATCCCCCCTCTTTGTTTAGTGTATATTTCACCTTATAGGCTCTGTTACTTTTTGGTTCTTTCACTGGCTCCTGGACTTCACCTCCTCTCTTATTCCTACTTCTAGCCATGTATTCTCTGTTCCTCCATCTGGGACTTACCTTCTTCCACTTTTTCTTTTTTAAGTCCTCTTCTCTTCACCTTTCTCTTTCTCCTTCCAAAGCATCTCAGGTCTGGCCTAAAAAGGCTATGAAGACTGCTGGTGGCTGGTTGTCCCTTCCTCTTGCTTTCTCTTTTCCCTTGCACAGGAGGTGCTCTAGGCTCAGCGCCCCTCCCCCTTTAGTACGCTTTTCATTACATAGCTAAACCAGACATGCATACGTGTGCAGTGCTGCCTTCCTTAGTTAAGTACTGAGAGTTGAGCAAAAATCCTCACTGTGCATGCCCAGCATGCAGTTTTCAAAGGCTCATAACTCACTCAAATCAAAACCAGTTTTCACCAGAACACTTGAACTTCTCCACAATGAAGGGTATTTCTCAGCCAACTCCAGCATTTAACTCCCTGCCATTTTGGCTGAAGTACTGTAAAAAAAAATAAATAAAAGGTCAAGCATGTTTTTAATAATGGGAAATATAAATAAATCATCTTGTAAATTGTCTGGCCTATTTTTGCTCAAATTTTCTCAGAAGAATTCACCAATAGGCAGAGATGAGGCCTGGAATTCAGTCCAAAGGATGATAGTTTTGGAAGGCTTGCAAAAGTGGAAAAAAAGGTGGTTAGAATGGAAACCATTATGCAATCTTATCTTTCCTCACTGTGGATCAAATTAACCTCTTAAATTTCCACATGACTTTACATGGGCACAGTGATCCCCACAGCAGTGCCGCCTTTGGGCCATGACTAGGTCATGGAGTTTATCTCTGGGAGGCAGGAATGGCAATAGACTAAAATAGCCAAAAGGCAGGGTCACACATTTTTCCAAAAGGCTGAGATTTATGACAATGACAGTCCTATCCCTAGGATTTTAGGGTCTCCTTGCCTCCCCTGCAGCATTAACAGAACCTTCTTTGCGCTACAGTGCTGTCACGGTCTGGCTTCCATCTCCTCCTGCCTGCTCTTTCTCTCTCCATGTTCTGTTAGGGCCTTGAAGGGGGAGTTACTGCAGCTTAGAGTAGCACTAACTTATAGTGCAGACTACATCATAAGGTCTGCTTTCCTGAAAGGGAAACATGCCATGTAAAGCAGCTGTTCTGATTACTCTTTCCTAGTCACACCTCTTCAGCCATGTGGCACCAAGCTCCAGCATAGGGACTATTAATGAAGCCAGGAAAGGGAGGATGCGAGTGCAGAGCTGTCTTTCCTTCAGACTGGTCAGCCCCTTCCACACTTGAACTTAGGTGGTTTGGTTTCCAATTCACATCATGCAGCAAAGAGTAGCGTACACCCATTGAAAAGAAGGCAACAGATGGCTGTTTAAATTAATAGGCCGTTTGAAATCTGTAAATATTGAAATCTGTTTAGTATTCTGTGTTACAACAGAATAGGGTTGCTATGAATCTGGAGCACAACCACAAAATCTGCCAAGAATCTGGATGGAAACTAGAGATGCTAACATTTCCAACTCCCCTTTCACTGCTCTCTTTACTGTTTATTAACTTTACCATGATAGGGAGTTTGACAAGAATTCCATACATTCAGTGCAGTTGTCTCACATTAATGCCACCTACGGTGAACAGACCTCTCTGGAAGCAGTGAAGTGGCAGAAAGAAAAGCTGGTTAAAATTAAAATATTGCAACTCCCTGATCCCATGCCCAGAGTCAAATTCTGGTTTCCTCTGTGTGAGATGGGATGGGTGAGGTGAGGACAGGGCAGGGAATCTGTTGTTTTAGCACTCTGCCTAAGGGCCGGCTGCACTACAGATTCAGTGCTCTCTTGAGCATCGGACTGGGAGGGACCAGCTAACACAACCAGCAGGGCTTCTTGGCCTGAAGTTGGCTTGGCCAGTGGGCTGGAGTTGTGGCTAAGGGCCCATCTCCTCCCTGGCTCCTGCTTGTGTCATCCCTGCCTCCCAGAGACAAACTACATGACCTAGTCATGGCCCACTGCTGTGGGGACCACTGTGCCAATGTAAAGCCATGTGGAAATTTAAGAGGTTCATTTGGTCCACAGGAAATCCAGACTATCAATCTTTGAGCTGATTGTGAGATGGAACACAGTTCATTGGTAAGCTGGGACTTGTGTCTCCATATTCACATAGAAATCTGGAAGGTTACAATTGTGAGAGCCCTAAGAATGCCTTATCTTTGAAGTTATGTGTTTATTCATATTTTCAAAATAGGAGTTGTTAGATACCCAACATTAGCTATTCTGAGGAGGCCAGTGGGTCTATCTACTGACACTAGAGACTTATGATGGAAATTATAAGGGTTCAGCACTGCTCTTACTTCAAGGAGTAAATTAATCCCTCGGTAGCGTAATATTAAAAATTACAGTAGTTGTCTTTTGACAGTTTTACAGCTTCCTCCACAAAATCTGGTTTTGACTACTGGCCAGATATTGGGTTAGATTGGCTTATGCCAGCATGTGAGTTCTTAAATTGAAGGCTAGATGGTGCCATTTAGGCACTCCACTGGCCCTGGGGAACTTATGGAAGGATTGTGTCTCATGGCATTTTGTTTTAAATCTGACTAATCAAAAGTTAGAGAGAGAAGGTAGGTGAGTTAATATCTTTTATTGGACCAGTTTCTGTTGGTGAGAGAAACAAGTTTTCAAGCTATGCAGAGTTCTTCAGGTCAGAAGAGTGTCACAGCTAAATACAAGATCAAATAGTTTAGCATAAGTAGTTAGCACATATTTGACGAAACCTATATGGTTTCCTTAAAATAACTACAACCCATACTTGATGATGACCCCATCCTGAATAAAATCTTCCTGCACCCCGCTTCTGACCTTCAAACAACCTCCCAACCTCTCTAAGCTCATCATCAGAAGCAAACTCTCCGCAGACTAGGGCACACTATCTCAAAGTGGCACCAGACCCCACCAGATTAACAGATGCAAAACCTGCAGACATATCTCCAGTGCTGCAGTGATCAACACCCGCCACAACACACACTTTTCAAGATCCATGTGTCCTACACATACCTATCACAACAGGTGGTGTACCTCATCCAGTGCACTAAATGCCCCAATAACAACTTCATTCGTAGATGAACTCACCCAGGAAAATGATAAAAGACAAAACATACCATATCACCTATGGGTGAACGCTTTTCACAAGGCAATCACTCTATATCTGATCTATCAGGCTTCATTCTCAACAGAAACCTCCACAACACTTGGAAAAGAGGAGCTTGGGAGTTTAAATTCATAACTGGGCTAGACACTAAAAATCATGGTCTTAATAAAGAGACTGGATTTATGGCTAATTACAACAGTCTGTAACCCACTAACCCTCCTTTTTTTCCTATGACTACAGGAGCGCTAATGGGCCACTGCACCCTGAATGGTCCCTTATCTCGCTCTAATGTCCTGGGACCCTCGCTACAACAACACTGAATCATCAAAAGTTAAACACATTTGCTAATCTGAGCCTAGTCCCTGGTGAAACAGTGTGCTCACATCTTTATTGTTATCTTTTGGCCTGTAGCTGGTAATGTTTATTCATGGGGAGGTCTAGTACTGGAAGAACCTGTTTCAGGTGAAAATGAAGGTGCTCAAGCAGAGCTGTGTGGGCAGGTTTGTAGAGCAGTGGTTCTCAAAGCCGGTCCGCCGCTTGTTCAGGGAAAGCCCCTGGCGGGCCGGGCCGGACCGGTTTGTTTACCTGCCACGTCCGCAGGTTCGGCTGATCACGGCTCCCACTGGCCGCGGTTCGCTGCTCCAGGCCAATGGGGGCTGCGGGAACCTGCGGACGTGGCAGGTAAACAAACTGGTCCAGCCCACCAGGGGCTTTCCCTGAACAAGCGGCAGACCAGCTTTGAGAACCACTGTTGTAGAGGACCTCTTCATGTGCTTGTTTAGCTTTGGTCAATTCAAACAGCTAATCTTTTAACATGGAAATGTTTCTTCACAAAACTCTTTAATACTTTCTGTAAAAGTATATTTGTGCTGGACTTATTTTATTTTATTTTTTTTTAAACTGTGCCAGCCAGGGGAAAACAAAGGTTGGAATGGCCAAAATGTTGGGTTTCCTGAGCCAACGAGTAACAGTGAGTATTACTTCTTATTTCATTCATATTTAACTTTTAGGCATCTTCCCATTAGGTATTTGATTATTTCAAACAACTAAATAATCCAGTCATTATGGACATTTTAGTCGGTCTTTTTTATCAGAAATTGTCTGAAAAGTTTTCTGTGATGTATCTGCCTTACGAGTATAAACGTGGTAGTGTGCTCTACTATAGCAAGAGCAAAATGGTATATTCTTTGTTTAAAAACTGAGTGGATTTTCCTGCTTATTTTGAAATGCATTAATTATAGAGCCAGTTAGGCATTGTCTTCATTAGAGAAAAAGGTGTTTTCTGAACTCAAGTTAGCTCATGCATGGTAATTAACATGAGGTAGAATCCTAGTAAAGACAAAGTAGTTGTAATTTTCACAGTAGCAGATTGAGGTAAACTCTAGGTTGCCTCCAGGGTTTATCTGTGTAGCCAGCTGTCCTGTTTCCCCAACCCAGGAAAGACACTCTGCCATGCCCAAGTCTCTCTCAGGACACAGTTTTATTGTGCAACATAAAACTTAAGCAAAACATCAAAACAAAAAAGCACTTCCTTTGCCCACGATCAGCCACAACACCCAGAGGCTTTTCCCCTTGCCTCTCTCAGTGCTGAATGGAGGACTCACCCTTCTCTTTAATACTACTGCTTCAGGGTCTACTACAGGAGCCCATCTCCCACCTGCAGCTCCCCCTCAACTGAGATGCTTGCTGCCTTTATAATCACTTGCTTCCAGCCCAGCTGGGTCTGGTCATTGAACAGGGCTGACTGCCCCCAGGTTCCTGGCTGTTAAAGGATCAGACCACCCTGTTAGCACCTTGATGTGATAACGCATGTGAAAACTGCATACTGCCTTGTCTTCAATATGATTTTACCCCATGTTAGGCTATGTCTACATTACAGACCTTACAGTGGCACAGCTGTACCGCTGCAGGGTCTCCTGTGTTGCTGCTCTGTGTTGGCGGGAGAGAGCTCTCCCACTTGCATAATTAAACCTGGGGTCTGTGTCCACATTGGGTCATGGGAAGTGGAGCACAAATTGGTTACAGCTGCTGCTGGGTGACAGCTGGAGATGTCAGTTGCCTGGTAGCTGTACAGACCTGGGTTCTAGACCCATGGGGCCTTGCATTCTGTCGAGATACTGCAGAGATGAGCACACTAAAGTGCATGGACACACAGAGAGAAAGAGAGTCTTGTTTAAGTTATGGAGAGCAATAAAGAGACGTTTCGAACCTGGCTGCATAGGAGAACTTGAAAAATAGCCCTTTTCCTGTTCCAGAAAGCCTCTGTCCCTCACTGGTGCTATATTGAATACCTGAGTTCCATTCAGAGGTATGCTTCTTGCCCAGTGATTATACCAGGGACCAATATTCATAGCTGATGTTTTCTGCACTCTGTCTACTCTCACTTGGATGAATGGCTTCTAATGACCACTGTCAGCAGACTCTGTCCTCAGCGATCCAATAGATGTACAGCCACTTACAATTATTGAGATTTTTAATCAACTGGGAAAAATTCATACATCAGCCTACACAAAGGATTATCACAGCGGTTCTGGACTCCACTCAGGACATAGCCTTTCTCCCAGAGGAGAGATTTTGCAAGATATGAGACTTCTCGGCAACTCTCAGGGAACAGCTGGTACAGACCAAACAATTTTTCCTAAAACTATTAGGCCTTATCGACGTATATCACATCATTTGAGAGGCACACGCCAAATGTACACAGCCTTCTAGGGAGACTGACTCCTTAAGTGCGCCCACAGCTTTGCTGGTTGGAGAACAGAGACAATGTCCTCTGGGGTACCCTTTTGTCCTGCCATCCCTACAATCACTATTGCCTCCAATCAGGGCTAGTGTGTGTATTGCCAAGACATCCAAATGCCTTGCCTTCTGAACACTTGTGCAGTCCGGATTCCGTGTCTTCTGATGTGCTGCTGCTGGATTGGAGCTCAGATAGTGCAGCAAGCCCTCAAACCTCTTGCTTGTCCTTGCAGCATCATGTAGTATAGGTGCTTACAGTCAATACCATGTCCGTGTACTGTATCAACAAGCAGAGAGGAATGTGTTCCTAGCCTTTATCTGTGGAGACAAGAAAACTTTGGCTGTGCATGTTTAGCCTGGTCTTTAGTTTTGGGTTTCTTTAAACAATTACTTACTCCAAGGTGAGGGTTTACACCTACTTTAATCTATGACAGTTCAGCCCCCTAGATCAACTACATTAGAGAGCTTAGAAATAGAGGGGGGACCCCATGGTGCACAACAGGGACTACATAGTGCTCTTTCTACAATAATTACTTTTATAACCAATCAAACAATGCACACACTGCAGTCAGTAAAGGAGAGAGAATACAGAATGCATAATATTTGCATTACTCGCACCACGCCTTGTGGAAAAACATGAAGTGTTAGTCCTCATCATCATCTTCACCATCAGCGGTCATCATCTTGGCGTCTCCCCCTCATTAAAGTACTGGTAGCCAGGTCTTCTGCAGCTGGCCAGAATACCATTATATCTGCTGTCTCTATCTCCAGACCTCCTGTCTCAACAGCCAGAAAGGATTCTGCATTGCAAACAAGAGTGCATTCCACCTTGCAGCATGGAGGATAACCTGCCGACTAATGTTTCTGCTTTCAGAGGGTTCAAGGTTTTTCTTGCCATCCAGGAAGGACTCCATCCTGAAATGCTATAAACCAACATGGAAATAGTTTACTATATGGTATACTATACTTCATTAGTCAAGGATTTCCCCCATCTTGAGCTGCGGCCCTGCAGTCTCAGAGTACCTTCTTTAAGTTTCAAGGCTTAGCTATAGCCTCTCTAAAATCCATATGGCAGAAGTATCTGCTCATCAGATTTATGTTAAGGACAAACCCATCTTCTGACACTACAGTCTCCAGTTTCTGTAATCTTGTGTCTTTGCTACAGCTGGGAGTGAGCTTCCCAGCTGGAGTAGACCACCTCGCACTAGCTCCACCTGAGCTAGCACACTCAAAAAAGTGGTGTGGATGTTGTGGCTTGGACAGCAATTTGGCTCTCAAGCCCATCTAATCCTCTGAGTCTGAGCTTGGGCGCTTAGAGGCACAGCATCCACACTGCTATTTTTAGCACACTAGCTTGAGTGAAGCTAGCCTGTCGGTGAGTTTTATTCCCAGCTGCAGTGTAAACATACCCTAAGAGCATGGTAAATGTGTTTTCCCCCCTTAGGATGCTCCCTACTTTGTGGGATGTCATTTGTGTCCTATTGAAGCCGATGGGCCCCCTTTATGAGCTGCTTGCTCAAGCCTCTCTTAATCATCTAGCAAGCAAAACATCCTTCTTGAGAGCAATTGCATCTGCTATTAGGGTGAATGAACATAGTGCTTTGATAGCCATTCCATCTTATACTATCATCCATAAGGACCATAGGCCACCATGAGGCCCCATCCCAGCTTTGTGCCTAAGATGGTCTCAGTTTTCCACCTATCTCAATATATTCCCTCCCCATATTCTTCCTTAGAGCACCATTCCTACCCAAGAGAAACCGATCTCAATACACTTGATGCAAGGAACTTGGTTTTTACCTGGAAAAGACCAAGCCATTTCGAACATCTGACAGGTTATTTGTACCGTCTGGGGAGAGATGTCGGGGAGAACCCATTACCAACCAGACACTGTCATGTTGCACAGAGGCGAATTTTAAAGAACAGTCTTCTATGAGCTTTGAGGGCCTTTGTCTATTCCTATTACACATCTTCCCCTTTACCTTGGAGTTCTGTATAAAATCTGGACTTTGCAGTTAGGGAGAAGGAGCAGAGGTAGTTCGAGAAGTGTACTCCCTTTATGTAGAGTAGGTGATGTCACTCCCCCCCCAACAGACTCAGCTTTTTAAGGTAGTGACATGTGCCATTGACAGTTCCACAGCTCAGTGCCATCTCCCTACAAGTGTGAATGTACAGAGGCAATTCTTGAAGAACTAGTACATAATCTCTTCTTTGCAATGTCAGCTCTGTATTTTTTTTTCATATGTGGTGGTGGTAAAATAGTTTAAATATAGGATGGGTTAAAGAGAAAAATTCCCAAATCCTCATTTTACTGGAGTGAGGATAGAGAGAACACCAGTATATTGGGCAGGGTGGCCCACCCAATCGTATTTATGTAATGAAGTTAAAGCATCATACAACATCAAAACATTGCAGGAAAATGGAACTCTGCATCACTGTGGTGTGACATGGATAGCATATGGTGGGGCCCCTAACCTGTATGGGAACTGTAATAGTCTAAAGATGGCTCTGAGGTGTTTGTGTGTACCTCCTTGCTGCCCTCATTCACCTTCATAGCAATTCTTTAATAGGTGAGCAGCTGCTCTTCCAGCTAAGCTTGGGCCTTAGTTAGCGAAAATGCCGAGCCTTTGGTGGATTATGTTTTAGCTTCCTTTTGCATGCAGGTGTTTCTCTTTCTTTGTCTGCTTGATCTGCAGTGTTTTCGTCTGAAACCATATAGACTAAAACTAGGATAGCAAAGTGAAGTTCTGTTTTGTTAAAGAAACAATAGTAAATTGTTTACAAGACAGCGACAGATTCTGTTGCTTTCCAACTGTATATCTTGTGTGGGTTGTCACTGGAAAATACCCTCTGCTTTGTTTCCTATAACATACCCACTTATTGCACCTTCTGCATCCCCCAGGACTAGTCCCCAGAAGCTGACCAGTTACCCCTTTCCCCTCTTTCCAGCTATTAAATACTCCAAAAACCATCCTTGTGACAAACTTCTCAACCCTACTTCCTCCTAACTGATAGCACTATCAGGCATTCTTTACACATCATAAAGAAGCACAAAAAAAAAAAAAGTATAAACCATTTTTCCCTAGGAAAGGTGTTCCACTTTTTCACAGAAGTTAAACAGAAGTCTCTTTTCCAGTTTATGGGTGTTGTCCAAATGAAAATTGAAGAACCACAGCTACCTCATGGAAAACATTATGTTTATAAACAGTTCCACCTATGTGTAAAATATTT